TCAATAAACCAAAATTTTATATCATTGTAATGTTGGGAAATACATCTTAACAAAGAAGGTTTAACAATTTTAATAGATATTACATTGTCGATGTTCTAGCTTAATCATACCATATCTTTGTGCTCTCTACACTCTGGTTCCATGGAATTGAAGAAGAGGTTAATTAAGGTTTCCTTTGCCTTATTGCATAGCAGGCATGTTTTGGCATTACTACTCAACTCTCCTTTCCTTGCTAATTCGTCCTTCACCTCCACCCTTCCCTTCGACACTTGCCAACAAAATACTTATACATTATAAGGTGCGAGTCCTGCCCCTTTTTGCTTCCAATAATCTTTGTGCTATTGTTTGCCATTACTAACCTACACAAAGACTTAACGGAATATTTACCACTTGGTGATAATTTCCATATCACCTTGTCCTCTTAACTTTTCACACATTATGAAATTCTCCGAGGTGCAGAGACAGCAATGTTCCACTATTCCTTCTCCCAATCAAATAAATTTCTTCTCAACTCAATCCTTCACTTCCAAGTATTGTTGTCCTAGAACCCGAACTCAATTATCTTTCCTATCTTATTTATTATAAGTGCAAATACTCTTAAAAGACGTACCTAAGCCTCATTCGTTCAATCCATTTGTCATTTCAAAATAAGATGGTTTTCCAGTTTTTCACTACAGAACCCAGCCCTCATGTAACATGACAAAAGAAACAACTGTTAAGGGGGAGAGGGGACTAACAAGGTTCTTCCAAATGATTGACATCTTCTTGTTGCCTTCCGGAATTAAAAGGGATTTCTCCACTATGATGGACCTCCAGGGGCTTCATTTTCATACTTCCATGTTCACTTATGCAACAATGCTCTATTTTTGGTCTTTAGATCAATCACTCCAAGACCCCATGGTCTTTATAGCTGCAAACCCACCCCTCATCAACATAATGAACTTTCCTTCCTGAATTTTTATTTTGAACAACAATTTTCCTTCCTAAAATTGACTTGACTCACAAGAATCTTCGTTGAATTTTTCTGAGCTACTCAACTACTCTCTTAAGAATTTGAAACAGAGACACGTAATAGATTAGGTAAGCTCCCAAGCACCGTCCTGAGCATTGTCACTCTACCACCAATGGATAATAGTTTCAATTTCCAACAGGCTAGTTTAGCTTCAAAATTCTCCACCACCAGGTTCCAAATTCTTAGAGAGCTTTGGCTAGCTCCCAACAGAAGCCCTAGATAAGTACTCTATTTTGCATATTCATCTTCAATTCCGCCATTACTTGAAAGCATCTCAGAATTCTCTTGATGTTCACCAAATTGTCCAATTGCGATTTGCAAAAAAATACAATCATCCGCATAACTGTAGGTGTGAGATTACAAATCCATTTCCTCCAATTGACATTCCATTGCACATTCTCATCTCCACTATTTTGTTCATCATATATGTTATCGTTGTTTCTTTCTTTTGTATTTAAGATCAAAGTCATCTCCTATTTTGCATGCCGATTACTTGCTGTTTGAGGTTTTTTTTATGATACTGAAAAGTAATTGCAAAACACATGCAATCCCTTTAACATGAGCAATGAAGTCATTGGAGATTGTATTGCAACTTAATGCACCAGTGATGATGATGGTGTTGATATATTTTCCGACTGGCGAATGAAATACAAAAGAAGACTTTCCACCATATACAGCATCTTTCTACCGTTCTTTAACAATGGCAACAGAAAGGGTAAGTTTAGAATCTGATCTAGACTGTCCTTGTTCTTTCAAGTTGTTTGTTTCTTTTCTGCCCACTTATCTTAAAGTTATGTATTCGTTTCTTTTCCTGGCCAGTTGTCTAAACTTTTATCTTCTCAATGCATAGTTGATTTAACTGATGATATTGAATACATTGATCCAAGTCCCCTCAAAGTGATAGTGTTTTCTTTGAAAGTTGTTGAGACCATTATATTTATAAAATTTAATGCTAAAGTATTGATTTGTGTTTCAGAATAGATTATTTTTGTGATTGTTGATATTATTATATATATCATTCCAAGTTAAAAATTGTCACATATTCTATTAAAATATATTTAAAAAAATTAATAAATATGTGATAAATAAAAAGATATAAGGTAATATTTTATTTTCGCTTGTAAGAGTCTAATAATCTTATTAAATAACATAATAAGAGTTAATTGGCTATCTATTCAAGGGATGAAAATATATAAATATTTCGAGCCTTCTTCTTGCAGTACCTTAGTGGATTGTTGAAACTCTGCAATATTACACCATTAATGTTATAATGACTCCAAATTAATTCAATTACAAAACGAATAACTACATGGTAATTTTCACGATACTGATTCACATGCTTATGTTTTGCTTCATTTAGTGAAAATAGAAGGTAAGGTAAGGTAGTATTAGACCTAGTAAAGAAACAGCAGTGTTTTTTTATGAATTTTATTCGTACTAATGGGATAGATTGATTCTCAATTAATGATGTGAAACAAGTATCAAAGATCTCAAAGATTTTGTGGTCCATGTTAATTGAAATCCCCAAAAAAAAATCAGCAGCACACAACATGGAGTAATTTTCTGTATAACAGCAAAGCAGAAGAACAGGAGAGCACACGAATTATAGGAAAATAAAAAAGAGTTATGCTGCAAAAGGGAGGGACAAGCGAGCAAGCGGTGGCTTGTTCACATTGCCCACATGCTTTGATGTAGTAGTTGCCTGTCCCTGAGGGGGCACGTACTTGACAGGGTTCGGCCCCACGCTCACCGCCTTCTCGCATCGACAGCTCAACAAACCCATTCCCTGATTTCTTCTTGCCGCCATTGCCATATGCGGCGATGCTCATCTCCTCCGCTTCTGATACCCCAACAGACCCTCTCTCGAACCCTTCTGCGGTTGTCACGCTCCAGTCTATGCTCGCCTCGCTCGGCTCGTAGCACTCGGGCATCATCGGCGAATACTGACAGCCGAAGCCTGACCCGTTGGTAGCCCCTGCTATCGATCTTCTTGCATTAAAGCTCGAGGAAGCCTCGTCCAACGAATCTCGACGGTGGTACATTGCATATGGCGTCGTCTGGCCCTGGGTGGTTGTGGAGAAGCTCTCGATTTCGAACAAGTCTGAGCTGGTATCACTGCCAACATCATCGTCTGTTATGGTTGTTCTGGACGCCAGTTTCTTTGGAACAGAAATAGATGATGATTCCTCAGAAGGTCGGAACACCTCCAACGAGTCTCGAGCTCTATCCTCATCATCAGCTTCAAGAGAATTAGTATTACTTCTATTCACTGCCATTTTCACGTGGGATGATATTGCTTGTTGATTAAGTACTGGAAACGTGAAGCCAGCAGTTCCGGAAACCATTACCTATCATCAGGGGTCTTGCTGTTGCTGAGGCTACCACACGCTGTCCTAGGCTAGAAGAATGAAACTGATTCTCTGCTGAGATCCTGTGAGGATTACAAGCTAGTAGTATCTCTTCCCGTTTATCCCCCCAGCTTGAACTTTTTGTACCCGAACTTTTCTGATCCTCTATCTTGAGTTTCTGATTCAAACTCAACGATGTTTTGGGCTCGACCTGAACGGATTTCTTGCTAAGAACAAGGGCATCTTTGGTCCCCAAAGCCATTTTATTGTACCAGTGCCAGTGGCAGACACTTTTTTCTTGCCATCGATGGTAGGATTTTTCATGGTCATAGACACCGCAATGGAACCCGGAGGATTTGACAGCAAGCCAGTCTGGCTATTCCAGCTAGCCTCTGACGAAGCCGTTGGTGTTGCATGGAAGGAACGAACTCGGAAAGCCCTGCCATAACCGTGCCCGTCAGTAGCTGATGAAGCAGAAGAGAATCTGGACAAGGCAGAGAGATCACATCCGTCTGACGAATTGCGATCCAGATTGGGAAGGTTAAGGGGGGACACCCTTTTGCACACTCTTGCGTCGTTGTTACTTTCGTTGAAGTATCTCTGGGCATCGAAAATGCTAATCTCTGTATCCTCATCTGCAGATACATCGACTCCAGGGTTGCTTTTCCGGTGCGGAAATGAGACGTGAGAAAGGGAGGGTTCCTGCTCCAGGGCATGTTGTCGAGAGCCCGCTCCTCCTCCATTAACAGTTGTCATTACTCTTGGCTTATCCATCGGTAATTAATCAAACCTGAACTAGAAAAGAAAAAAGGGCAAGGCAACAATGGATATATGGCTGTAGAATTGCCTTCTGAATTCCATATTAGCAGGTATATGTAGAGGTTGGGTACAAAGTTGCCCAAAACATCAATCATACATGCATACTCCAACAGTGAAAATTATCTACCAAATAAGGAAACCAACATTCCCATATTTATTTATTTCCATATAAAGGGGTTTAAAACTTTAATCCACAACCACAAGATCCAAGATACTGGACCCGCAAGAGAGAAGGGATCACAGCCAGCAGATGATCTACATCCATCAGAATTTCCAACATATCATGGAAAATTATTGTGTATGATCCCCACACAAATGTCTGATACATAGTCTTCTTTTCTTCATCTTACAATTAAGTTATAACCAAATTTGATCCTACTTTATGTATAGCAAATAATTGGATGATAAATAAATTGATTAGATTAGTCATGCGGACTCTTATCATTTTGGTGCTATTGTGGAACCCAATTCCGCAACAGACAAAAAAACCTTACAGGATAGGAATGTGCCAGACAAGTTGGTGACTCTATCCAATCTTGAGAAGCATGATTGATTTTGGGAGCTGCGCTGTTTCTTCCTTTTTTTTGTATTATTTTTTCTCAATCCTTCCATGTTAGTATTTTATAGTCCTAGAAAACAAATACCACTCATTTATTTAATACAGTAATTAATCATCTCTTTTGGGTTTGGGCAGATAGGTGGATCGATCATGCATTATTTCTTGGCACTTTTTCTTTTGAGCTTGTTTCAGGCAGGCAGCTTTAAGCTATGCGTACCTAAAGCTATTTCCATTGCTTGCAAAGTCCGCATGATTATACTTGGAATTCATATTATGTTATTCCAAATGGAATCAAACTTTATAATTGGGGAAAACTTGAATTAATTATTGAGTATTTATGAGTTATCTTTTATTTTTTGTAATGTTATTTTCTTCAATAATGTATGATTCGATTAAGCGCAAATAATGATATAAAAATAAATATTCATTTTTTGATAAGAGAAAATTGAATACTTTAGTGTTTTCAAGTTTTTTTTTAAAAAAAATTGAATAAAAAAGTATAGTGATTGCCTTAGAAAAAAGTTTGTTCATTATTATTAAAATTGCATCCATATTTGATGTAACACGTAGCAGATCGTATGAGCTGTGCAAGTCTTTTCAAGTCTATGAGATGATGGTTTTTGTTTTCTTATTCGAACTTCAAGTTTGGAGGTGCCTCCATGTGTTTGGGTTTTATACAAATAGGGATTTAAACCTAATTTGTACATTTCGTTGTTTGAAAAATAATTAATCTAATTAAAACTTTATTTTCATATTCTGTAAGGTCTGACCAAACATTTTCTCGAATCACCGAAGGAAATGTATATTCAATGGCACTAATCTATTTCTGAATATAACGCCTGATAATATTTATGTTAATAATTTCTGTATTTTAATAATTAATAAGGGAATGCCATCGATCTTCTTAATTTTAGTAAACTTCATATTTATAATGTTTTTACGAATTTGAAATGCCTTGGTTTCTGTTGTTTACTCTTAGGATTTTTATCCCATAAAATATTGGCCGGTTTTAATTATTAGTACGAGCTCACTTTAAGCAATTATATTAAATTAATTATTTTTTTTGTTTATTTTCCTGTTGATTTTTGTTTAGTTTAATATTTTATGAAATTGTTATAGTTTGTAAATAAATTTATATAATTGACAAGTGTACATTTGATTAATTATGTTTTTTTTATATATATAATTCAATGAACATGTATCAATTATTTAAACATATTTGTAGGTATAAAAACTTCAACACCCTTGTATATAGCATAATTTATTAATTTCCCTTCTTTCAAGGGTTCTGAGCTAAGTATGACATATAGACCATTAGCCTCTGAATATATAGTTTTAACAGTTTGTTTATGCTTCCAAGCAAAATTCAAACAAGACTGATTGGCTTTCCCTTTATGGAACTCAACCAAATGGTGGGACCAAAAGATTGTTCTATTTCGGTCTGTTTAAGTTATCATTCATGTCATGTAGAACTTCTGTTAAATAGTTTGTTACTCAATTAAGAGGCAAACTCTCAATAATTATGACATTGCACCTTGGTTCTGGTTCAAGAGTTGAGTATATAGGTTTCAGACCCCTTTACACTACTTCTCTAGCAAGGAACTCGAGAAGGGTGTAATTCCCGAATCCTCAACTCTTTCACTGCTCTGCCAACAAAAGTTTGACACTACAAAAACAACATTGCATCCTGCTTCAAGAGTTCTATGCATACACTTCAAATTCTGTCAGCACTATTGTCTGAACTGGAAACTCGAGATATGGTGTAATTCCTGAATATTGAACACTTTCATTGCCCGGCCAACAAAAGTTTGATGCTACAAAGATATGGTAATAGGATTGCATATGTTCAACACATAATTCCATTACAAGGAGTATACCTTTCTTTCATGTTCACTACAATTTACAAGTCCTAATTATCACAAGCGGGTAACATTAACCAAAAGGAGTAAAATACCAGATGAACAGCATGTTTATTTCCCATCACACCTTACTACATATAATGGGAAAAGAATTAAGTGTGATGTATGTGATGAGGAAAAAGAAGTGAGAAATATTAAGGCACTTGTAGAAAGAGGGGATAGCAGTATGATTGGCAGTATGTTTTCGCTAAAGTATCATATATTTAACTGAATGATACAATGACAGGACGAGGACGAGAACAAAGAGTTCTCTACATTTACAGAAACACAACACAACACTTGCATATTTGTATGTCTAGCAATGTGATGACAATAAACAAGAGCAACTTCTAGCAAATTATTTAAGTGAAACCAAACGTTACCAAATGCCCTCAGCAACACAACACTCAATGCTCTTCACCTGTATCTCTTGAGTTTTACCAAAATTGTTATTCTTGCTAATGCAGAAATATCAGCTGGAATAGTCTGTACAACACAGCAAGCAAGCAAGCACACAACAGGAAGCTTATAACCCATCAAAATAGACCCTCAAAGAGCCTCGTGATGCAAGAAGAGAAACTCACAGCCTCATGAACTATCTTGAAACTTGAATATAACATCTCTGCCTCCAGAGTCTATGATACAGCCTTTAGCATGTCCCCTTCAACAATTCCATTACCAAGAAACTCGGATGGCTACTGAAATATAAGACAGAGAATATAAGAGGAAGGTATAGAGGCAAAGTCAATTTCGTCGCCATCTTAATTTCAGAGAACAAATTGAACTTGTGGATTTAATTAGGAAATCATCAAACCATATTGAAAATTATGATGCCATTTACACATAAGAATCACGCGAATACATTCTAATACAATTTCTTAAATTCAAAATAAAAGAGCACATTATAAATCATCCACAAAGTTGTACATAAAAAACTATTCCTTGGGAATTTTTAAAAATAACATAAAAGACTTACATCAATCAAAGCCAAACAGATTAACAGTTAATCAACTAAAATAAATCGGATTATCTCAGCTAGCTCAATCAGCCATCATCTCATTATTTGCGGTCCACTATATGATCCCAGACTCATTAAATCAATTATGTTAACATCATTGGCGATACCAAGATATGGTGGTATCAATAGCTATAGAGCTCCAACCACCACCCCTCCCCCTCTTTCTCAAATTTATCTCTCTATGTGTGTGCCTGCGCATGTCTGTATGTGTACTTCAGAATATTGAATTCCAGAATTTAGCAATGAAATTCTCAGACATCAAAATCAAATGTCTGTCATATGCAGCAACAAACTAATTGCATATATGTTTGATTATCGTTTCTCAAACGTCACAGGTAGTTAGCATCTGATGAAATCAAAAACAAGAGTCCCAAACGAGAACTCATTAGAATCACCAAGAATCTATTAAGAGAAAGTAAGCAAGATTGTGAAAATAAATAACATATTATAAAAGTAAAATTAAATCAATCCAAATTATAGTAACAGACAAGGGAAAAGCATCATCTACAAGTGAGAAGCAAGAAGCTTTATGCAGACGCAACCTGGGAATCTGATTGAGTGTGAGAATCATCAGGATCAACGGCGGTGCAATCACGGGGGTTCTCAAACAACGACAAGGAGAACTGTTTATCAACGACGCCAACGTCGAAGTTGATCAAACCGGAGCTGGGATCATCGACGCGTATGCTAATGACGGGGAACCAAAGGAACAGCTCCTGCTGCGTCACACCGGATAAATTCGCGATCTTCCCGAAAGATAAGACTCCGGAGATGTTGAAATCGTAGTGGAGCTGGTTCTCGAATTTGGCGTTGCAGGGTTGGCTTAGGTTTACTTGGAAACGGTGCGTTTCGGGGTCGATTGAAAATTCGGTTATGCCCTTGGGAAGGAGACCCATGGGGAGGCCGTTGCGTTCCAAGTGGTCGTAGATTGAGGAAGGGGATGATTGGGCGGTGGGAAAACTGAGGGAAATGAAGAAGAAAGTTAAGGAAAGCGCGGGAAAGAGAGAGAAAATTGTAAATCCCATGTTTGGGGCTTCTTTTCTCTCTCCTTTTCCCCAGAAAGGAAAAACAAATCGATTTTTTGGGACAGAGATTTTTGGTTATGTGATGATGCTTCGATTGGTTTGAGGTTGAAGCAAAGGGAAAGAGGTAGGAAACCAGAACAGAATTTTTCAGAAGGGTTTGGATTTTGTCTGCTACTTGGATGATTACGTTCAACCACGCGCTCACTACGAGCGTGACGGGCGTTTCAGGGGAAGAGAAATTCGAAATAAAAGATCATGGTCAATTAATGAATTAAATGCCGGAATGAATATTAAGGAAACAGTTAAAATAAAAAGTATTAAAAAGTTCCGGTACTTCAAATGTGTGATACTAAACTTTGTTTGTAGTATTATGTACAAGTCATATTTTTATGGCAATACTTTAGACACACTGAGTTATATATATATATTTAAATAATTTGTTTTCATAAATTTTTTAATTTTTATTTTAAATTAAATAAATTATTAAGATTAATGAAAATGTAATTACCTTCGGTCAAATAAAATTAATCATTGATTTTAAGGATCCTTTAGCCCACAAGTTCTTAAGATTGTACTAGCAAAACAAGTACGAGCAATACGCACAGAACAATTGTCCTTCCTAAGGCCTAAAACATGTCTCGCCTAGACATGTTCACGTAGATGAGATTAAATTATTTTATTTTTATATTTTGTGATGCGTGAGGAACTTTTTCATGAAGAATTTTAAGCTAGAAACAAATGTAAATGCTTGATTTTGTTTATTAATTTATTGTTTCTTTAAAAATTATTTTGTAATATTTATAACGTTATAAGAAAACAATGAAAACAAAAAACAGTTATATCATATAATAAAAAGATCGTTCTCTTAGCATAGCTTAGCGAGTTCAAGTAATTATTATTTATTTTGTCCAAAAAACCTCTTTTTAGTAATCATTATCTATTATGTAAATAAATTTTTTTTGTAAATCGACTCATTATTTATTTTAAAAATTATTCTTGACAGCTTATTTGAGCAGAAAAGGATTTCTTAAGCAAAATAAATACATGTTCACTCTTTAACTCTTTTCTTTAAATACTCTCTCAAATTCTCTTATAAACCTGCCCTGCCACGATATTCAACACTTCAAAAATTACTCCAATCTTTTTCTTTGTTGCCTATAACACGTCATTTTACTTATTTACAACACTTCCTCTTTCCTTATTCCAAGAACCCCTCTACAAAGTTGATTGAACCAGAATTTTGCTTAAGCCAATTTAGGCATGAAATATTATAAATTAACTCACTCATCTATAGAATATGGGGGCATTTTAAAAAATAATCCTTAAAAATAAAATATTTTCAAAAATAACATCTTTTATAATTTTAACTATTTTTAATCAAATTAGATAAAATTACCCTTAATGAAATTACACATCAGGATATTACACAGCGTATACAGAAACATGTTACATGACATGGTTAGGTTGTTACACGCCATGTACAAAAACGTGTGACACGCTATGGTTAAGTTGTTACATGCTACGTACAAACATGTTACACGTCCTTGTTAAGTTATTACACGCTATTTAAAAAAAATATTGTTGTTACACGACATGTACAAAAACATGTTACACGTCATAGTTAAAAAAAAGTTGTTACATCCCATGTTAAAAAAAAATATTGTTATTACACACCATATTAAAAAAATATTATTATTACACATCATATTTAAAAACATTTTGTTACACTTTAATGCCTAAACTGTTGTTGTTACTTACAAACTAAAATTTCAAATCTTCTCAACTCTATTTTTTTTTTTGACAATTTGACACTTGAATCTATTTTTTTTGTGACAATTTGACACCGATTCAAGTGTTTCTAACATGCTTTTATAAATCAAAACACAATTTTTTTTTATCTAAAATACCTATTTTGAGTAAAAATCGAAAAAAAAAATTCATTGAAAACCTAAGTTTATAAATTTTAAAATTTTAAATTTATTGGTGTCTAAATTTTAAATTGATCTGATTAAAAATTATTTCAAATATCTGTGATCATTTCTACTGTTTAATTTTATCCGAAAAACCTAAAAATCAAATTCTCCAAATAATCATTCATTCAAGCACATCAAAGTATCGTTTGGTGTCTTCAAAATGCTGAAAAGAGAAATCTAAAAGCACGAGAGATAAATCGAAAGTATAAAAAACAAATATCGAAAAAAAAATCGATAAAATTAGAAAGAGTGAGATTTTGAGAGAGAAAAATCGAAAGCACAATTGAAAAAAAATTCTGATGAATGGTTTAATTCATTTAAAATAATTTCAAAAGTATTTTCGTAAGTCATGACTAAATATGACTAAAAATAATTAAATTTATTTTGATGTTATTTTTAAAATGCTCTTATCAAGAAAGGTTATTCCTCACAATTTCCTCTAGAATATATAAAGTATAAGAGTAAAAATGTACAAGCAAGACCAGACTACATAAGAAGCTCGCCCTTAATTTATTAGTCTAATTAATGAATCCAAATTTTGGAAAAGCGAAAAAAAGAAAGAAACAAAAAAACTATTCCCAACTTAAGTAATAATCAAAAGAAGACACCATAACGGTAACAAGTCATTTGCATCTCTACCAACTCAAGCAAAACATTCTATCACAACAAACCAAAGCCGCAACTCATAACATTACCAAGGAAAACTCAAAATCAGCCTGCCCCCCGAATTTTTACCCCATCGTTTGGCTTTGCCTACTCAAGAGTCTCAGCTTCAGGGTTCAATCACGAACAGAGGCTGTAAAGATGATAAACAAGAAAATCAGGGCAACAAAACGAGGATATATATATATATATATATATATATTGTGAAATCAGGGTTGTGCTAAGAACAATCACCATGTCAACGCTGACTGACTTGCCATCATCTACAAGGATCTCAACGATGGTTCCCGATTGATCAGCCTAAAGAAATTACAGTTTTGCAGTTAACAGTCAGTCACATAACAGACAGTTCGACAATTTCATAAACTGTGGATGCAACAATACACTCTTAGTTAAGGGCTGCATTACATATTACAGTCTGCTAGCGCTGTAATCAGAGGCTATAATCACTGGGTGCCCAAGTAAATCAAATGCAGCTTTCAGGTTCGTTATCGAGAGTGCTCACTAGAAAATACTAATCAGAACCCTATGCCTTTCACTGGCTTAATCTCAAACATATAACCCATAAACCAACTAATTTAAGCCAATAGCTACTCATACATTTCCTAATAACTGAGACCAAAAGATAACAAGAAACTGTTTGAAATGAACCTCATTTAAGCACTGCCATCCACTATTAAAACTGCAACATGTTCATTAATAAAGTTTGGAACATTTTTTCAACTTTGATAGGATAATAGATATCAGATCTCGTTAAGGTTACAGTGTAATCAAGGAAGCATAACTGACAATTTAAATGAAACCTGCAGCAGAGTATCATACCATGATCACCAGAAATGCAGGGTTTAAGTTTCAGTCAAGCTTTGCCTCAAGTTTCAGTAGGAACTTTGTGCCTTAAGCACTCGAAAAACCTAACCAGATCCTAAAAACAGACTTCTTGATGTCAACTACAAGAATCTTTTCCTTCCATTCTGCCTATTTTAAAGCATACTCTTGTCTGACACTTAACATAATCTTTTTCACTCTTTTTTGCAACTTCTATTAAAAATCATTTTTCATCCAATTGCATCTATATTGATGCTGCATATGACCAAATTCACTAAGCATCCTTTTTTCCCAGTTTATCTAAAGATTATGCCAACTTTAATTTTCAAAAATAAATAAATGAATTCATTCTCCTTCAATCTTTTTTTTTTTCTTTTTGGCATCTTAACATACATCCATTTCGATATTTCCATTTGGATCACACTCTTTTCATACTCATATTCTCCACCAACACCACTTCATACTATAAAGCATTACCGAGGATACAAAAAAACTTTTAACATAATTTCAACTTCTGAGGTACTTCCAAATTTCATCACCCATTTAGCACAAAAAGTCTCTCTGGTTGTTATCATTTATCTACAATTTTGTCTGAAAGGCTCTTTATATACCAAAAAAGATTGCACTTAGGAATTATTGACCATCAATTCCACTCTATATTCATCTCTAAGTTTTTCATCAATCATTCCACATACTCATCTTGGCTATTTTTGAATTTTTCCAAGGTTAACATTTTTGTGATTATTAAAGCATCCAATATAAAACTAACTAGCCATTTTTGACTGGCCTAGCTTATATGTTTGTATTAAGGTGAAGCCCAATCCCTTATAATGTGAGATAACTCAACTCAACCAAGCCATAATCCCGGATTAGTAGGGGCTGGCTACATGAAATTTCTTTCTCTACTGTTCGGTTAAGGGCTATATGGCGTACAGTTTTGTATAGACACTCTGAGACCAGATCAAATCCACGCTAGGGAAAAACCAAAGTTATAATTGATTAGGCTGGCCACATAGTTAAACAGGAAGGCTACAGACAGGAGGGGTCAGGTATAGCAGCTGCCTCTGACATCATTTTGAAGCAACCAACATAAAATCATTCCAACATAAACATTAGGCCAAGGTGAATCCCATGCCTTCTGAGATGTAGCATAGACAATCTAACAATGACAACTTGAGCCCAAAAGAAAATTTACCCTGTCTTCAACATATCTAAATGGGTTATTTTGCATAGTATTCAGTTGTAAGGTCAATTTTATAATTCATAAATTTTTATTTTGATAAATATTTCACAAAGCCAATTCTCTAGGAGGTGAAGGTTGAGAAGACAATTCCATCTTAAAATTTGATAGTTATGAATATAATACAGAGACTTTCTTTCCTAGACAGAGTATTTTTGACAAAATACATAGGCACAGACAAAAACTAGACTGTATTAACTGAGCATCTAAGTTGATATTCTCTTCTCCCTCTCTTTAGTATCCCATTATCTCTGCATCCAAAGCACTACAAACTTTAGCAGGGCCACAGCTTCCTAATTCTTTGGCAAAAAAGCCACAGCCAACATTAATCCAAAGAAAGTACTTAACGAGATTTTTTTTCTATAAAATAATGCATAAATAAGCACTGATTCCATACTCCTACCCCTAACAATGCTGCAAGCTGCAGAGGCATTGATTTTTATGAGGGAACAGGACTTTTTTCCACTATCTTACATAAGCTGTCCTAACAGCTTTTATACCAAATATGATCTTAGGACAGTAACCTTAATAAACACATTTCTGATCTAATTCCTGTCCACGTTCCAATATGCAAATTAAAAGGCATTTCAAATATCCAAGAGCTTCATAGTTTATCTCCAACTTTCTTTAGCTCCCTGGTTCAGACCTAAACTAATAAACATTATTCCATAATGCAAATTCTATGATTACCAACAACTGGGGAAAAATTAAGAAACAGTAATCTTTGTACGATTAAAATCATAATATCTTTTCTAGACAGAGAGAATAGAGCTTACTTCTATTTCATTCATCAACTTCATTGCCTCAATAATGCATAAGACCTGACCCTTCTGCACTTTGTCCCCAACCTACAGAAAAAGCCTTTCATCTAAGTCCACAGAGAATCCACTGCAGAGACATGATATTGACACAATAGAAATGTCATTAAAATCCAAGCATATCAACAAGTATAAATGTTACACCTTTACAAATGCCGGTTCACCAGGGCCTGGACTTCTGTAGAATGTGCCTGCCATTGGACATTTAAGAGGCGGAAGTGATGATTTGGCTGACTTAGGAGCAGCCAGAGAAGGTGCTGGAGTTGGGGCGGGAGGTGCTGGACCAGAAGGTGCAGGGGCAGGGACAGCTGGGTTTGGAGGCATTACTGACGGTAGAGATGGTGACTGCATCATAACAACTGGAGCTGCAGACGGTGGTTGGGACATGGCCTCCTTTTTCCGGATTATCAGTTCACAATCAAGTTGTTTCAGTTGCAACTCCACAATATCTCTTGAATCAACTAGCCTACAACAAGACAGTAAATATTATTGCATTGAGCATACTAAGGGGTAAAGAAAAACAGCACACAATCTATCAAGGGACAGCATACTTGACTAGACTTGAAACTTGATTAAGGAACTCAGAGATTGATTCTTCTGTGGCCAAAGCTGGAGGAGATGCATCACTTGATGGCTTAGCATCCTTAGCTTCTGCTGTTGGACGCCCTGATTTGACTGGAGATGTAGCTGAAGCATTTGATGATCCACCTACAGCAACCTTGAAGGCAACAGATGATCCCAAAAGCGTGTCCAGGAAGGAACGAAAATTTGAAAGAAGATCCTCTAACCAAAACCATTTAAAGAAGCTTACCTCATTCAATTGGGCTTTCACCACTATGGAACAGTTCTGACTATGCTGCAAACCCTACAGTATAGAAACCGGCAAAAATTTCAATCCAACATAGAAAACCAGGAGTTGAAAGACACTTAACTGAAAAAAAAAAAATTCAGCTAGTTTTTTAAGCATCTCCAAGTGAATATGTAAATTCAGTGAAAAAGCAAAATCTTTTAGGTCTGTAGAAGTAGACAGATGTCAAGTTTCAACTTCTGATAAGCTCATCATTGTCAATATTTTATCGCATGTATGACCTCCACAATACATAATGAGACTAGAAAAACCGACTGCTTATGTGCAAATAACTCTGTTGGTTTAGAGTGAGAAAGGAGAGAGAAGATCATCTTGTCAGACTTAATGAAAACCTTCGCCACATCTTATTTTGCATGCTAAAAATCTGCCAACCACGTTGGTCAACCATAAAGGCTGCATGTATTACCTGCTCTTTATTTAGCTGATCATGGATTTGTATGGCATCGTGATTGCATTCTTGGAAGCATTAAACACATCCCAAATATGTCATTTAACTTTGCACCATGATGTATGATACTGTAACCATGTCCAAAGAGGTGAACATGCCATTTTATTCTAAATGTTCTAAACTAGTCCTTCAAAGAAAATTATCCTCCTCTCAAGATATATCATGCTGATTATTCCAAGAACATTAGAGTGTGCAGTTAAAACTGCAGATTTCCTTGTTTGTTTTCTCATAAGTATGACTTAAATTATAAAAATAAATATATAGATTTATGTTTCATCTAGAAATAACTATAATTTCACATAGGAACTGAAATATATAGCCATCCCTGGTGTCTCTCTTTGTCTGCACCCTGTATCATTCCACCACATGTTTATTACCAAAAATATTATTTAAATAATAATAATAAAAAAAAACTACAATTGCACAAAGGAACTGTGATTTATAACCATTCCTGGTGTCGTTTTGGCTCCAGCCTATATCTTTCCACCTCATGTTTATTTCTAAAAACATTATTTAAATAATAATAATAAAAAAAGAGCCACCATAAGCAGAAGACTCCCACATAACCCTTTTGCCATCCCTAACTTTTGGCTTAAGTTACTTTTCAAAAAACAAACTTTAGGCTTAAATTTTTAAAAATATGATATTAATATATCAAAAGGATATGTACCAGTGGAACAGATAAGTATTCACTATGCAGTGATTCAAACCACGTAATATGTATGTATAAATACAAGGAGCTATTCGAGAATTCCACACTTCAACTTAACAAAGAAAATTAAGTTCTACTTGGATGCCCTTCCCACTTAAAGAGGGATAATACGCATAAGATTTAAAGGAAAGGTTTCATAAATCAAATGGATGCTTCAAGAAGGTCATTTTTTAAGTTCAACTCTGTAATAATAATGGCAATGGTTATATAAAGAATTACCTTTACTTGTTAAACATGTAAATAATGCTAGGCTATGCTGTTAGTCTCAAGTGTAGGTGTTGGACATATATGCATGTCTAACAGAGACACGCTTGACATTTCGCAAGTGCTGCCTTATGTGGAGGTTTATACCCAAATGCCCATTTTCAATCAAGGAATATGATAAATTTCCAGCGCAGGCAAGTAAAATGATGAATAGATAAGATCACAAGTCCTTCCTCAAGAAAACCACATAGCAAATTACAAAGTTTTTATTCAGATTTCAAACTTTTTTCATCATTACATAATTATATTCTTAATTATGATTCTCTTTAAGTAAACCCCAATTATTTACTTGGACTGTATGTTATGCAGTCAAGCTACATCTTGGATATTAGGACTCGATCTTAACTCCCACTATTAACTTCTTAAATCAATGAATTTCTACATTTTAAATTTTTAAATTAGTTTCATGCATCTCATGCTCAGAATCTATTAAAACATGTAAATAGTAAACAATTTACTGCACTTTCTTCAATGATTTCAATCTCATGCACAATAAAGGTTTCAGATGAGTTTTGGACCACAAAAAATCTAGGCAAATACATGTGTGGTGTGTCATTCAGTTAAAGACCAGCTTAAGTATAGTCAACTAAGCTAATAGAATTATGTTGAAAATGAAAATGAATTGACGTAAATTCAATAATAGACTCAGCATTTCCTTAATACATAAAAGGTTAACAATGTCCTTAAATAGAAATCATGCATGTAATGCCTTTTCTTACTTCTAAATCTTAAAAAAAACAGCAATTTGTAGACTCCCTGTTAAATTCTCGGTGTAATATAAGACAAATAAAAGCACAACTTATCTAATGCAATAGATGATAAGATGACTTCTCTAATGAATATGACCAAATGGGTCTTAAATACATGAAAAGAGTTAAAACATTTATTAGATATCAATAATTGATTATCATTTCTATTGCTTTTTAACAACTATCTCTAACAGGAGTACTGAATTTGGGATTATACTGCTAAATAACAGCCCAATAGATACCACATCGATTCCAAATTGAAGTCATCCTAAGAACAAGTTGCATGATTGTTTTCTATTGTAGTGCCTTAAGAACATTATACTCTTTATCAGCAATTTCTGTTACTTCATGAAATTCTAAAATAGCTGATCATGCAATGTACCCTTGTAATGGAATTTAGCAATTAACAGATTATGCTGATTTTGATCAAACTTCCAAGAATGAAAAATATAAAAAAGTCGCTAAAACTAAGGAAGCAATGGAGCTTCTTTTCTAGCTCCTCAAATAAAATACTGCCATGAACATTATGTGATCCTATGAAACCAATAAAGCTCCAATACTATAAAAATCCTTTTGCTTACTAGAACTTTGGTTTCAGTCCTCTGAAGTTGACACATAATGCCTTGGTGCTAGCAGTGAAGTGACATATCTGAGTTTGATTTATAAAATGTAAATGGATCTAAAGCATCAAATCTCAGTTATATATTAGTATATATATGGTCACTTTCCTAGCATGTACATTTCCTTTAACTACCTTACACATAACTAGTTTCCAATTTGTATTTAGTTTCACACAGACTCTTACAAAATGTATTTGGCTTAAATTAATGTTTACTATAACTGAACTAACATGTCCAAAAAAAAGGAGAAAAGAAACTGACAAGTTTTCTTATTTGAAAAAAGATGTATGAGTAAGAGACCACTGAGAAATACTTAGGCTTATAGTTACAAATATAACATAAACAACGGTGTAGACATTACGCTAAAACAATAACCTTTCACTGCTGCACTTATTCATAAAATTCTTAAGTTACACAAAGGTGCACATATGTAGAGATGCCAATGGGTACCCTCTAATTAGATACCATCCATTACCTGACCCAATTAAGTAAGGTTAAAGTACCTTCTAATTGGGTTCAGGTAGTAAACCGACTAACCATCACAGGTGGGGGTGGGGTTCGAGTAGTAGTCTTAGGATACCCACTACCTAAACCCAATTATAAATTATGATTTTTAAAATTAAATTTTAATTTTATTTATTAATTTTTGTTTATGAATTCCTTATGATTAATAACATTTACTAAAAACTCATTAATTTTTCTAAATATGATTTTAAACTTTAAATTTTTTTATGAAATAAATTTAATTTATTAATTTAATTTTCATTAATAATATACAAAAAAAATTATTTTTAAATTTATTTTAATAGGGTATTTAACGTGTAGGGGCATTTAACAGCTAGCTAGAAAAATTTAATTAAGCATTTATAAGGTTCAAGTACCTTATCAAATAATCAAGTTCAGGCTAAGGTACCTAAAAACTAACGGGTACCCTACCCATTGACATCTCTACACATTCAACTCATATCAAACAAAATTACAATTCTAGCACATAGAAACACGACATTTAACGAAGTGAGCTGCTTGAAAATTCATGCAAAGAAAGCACCAGCATCAAACACTCATATGTTTGCACTTTCATAGCAAAATGACAAAAGCACCAGACCATGGTGTGAGGTGGCATGCAATTAGTTATTACGGTAGGAACATGGACAAATCAGCAAAAGGAACTAATTTTATTGCTTCCCTCCCCTACTTTTCTGTCTATTCCTAGATCATTGCATAAACTTCTTTTTGATTTATAACACAGAACAATCAAGAGAAACAAAGTAAATAAATAAATCTATTTAATTACAAACTCATAGAGAAATCAGTTTTTCAATATTTTTCCTTTTATTCCTCAATGCTACTTGCTTTCTCTTTTCCAAAAATTGCTAAAAAAAAAATTTCATATTTGCTTAAAACAAGATAAAATGCCACACACATTTCAACAGTTTTCAATTTCAATAAAGTTAAGATATCTATTTGTAATTCATCAAAAATATAGCTTACTTTCATATCCAATAATAACAACCAAAGCCTAAAATATTAGGCCTCTATACATACAAAACAGCATTATCCACATTTCCAAAAGCAAGCAAAATAAAGAAAAGATGAACAATAATCTTCTCTTTACTGCGCTACTAATTTCATCAGAAAAAACACATCAAAGCAAGCTTGAAATTGATCAAACGATAGAGATCAGAAATCTACACTCTACTTATCTCAAACTTAAACATAGAAAAAAATCTAATCAAAGATTCAGAAAAATTATCTTTACTATCTATTCCAGCTCCCGCATTTGGCATTAACAGATTCTAAGCCGCTAAAATTTTCATGAAAAATTATTAAAATGAGAAAGAGAGAGAATTTAGAGTACTTTTGTTACCTTGAAGAAGAATCGGCAGTTTGGCTTCGGAGAGAAGCGAAAGGAGACCTTGGAGAGTGGGAGGTTAGTAGAATGAGGCAAGGTAGCGGCTGTTTTAGCGACGGAAGAGAAGGAAGCGGAGGCCGTTGTTGAGAAAGAAGACGCCATTTATTTGTTCAAAAGACAGACAGAGAGGAAAAGAAATGTCCTTGGATTCGTAGGAAAGAAAGGAAAAGAAAAGGAAATGAGAAAGAGAATTTATACGACAGAGAGAGAGAGAACGAAAGGGTTTGGGGGAATCCGTCGAGAAGAGGGGTTGGTTAGTGGATGTGTTTAGTTAGTCTTTGGGGTCGATGAAATCGAAGAGAGAGAGGAGCAGGAAGTAAGAAAGCAGCGGGAGAGATTGGAGGATACGCGCTTTGGGTTGCCCTTGCTGCCGGCACGTGGTGGTTATCTGGAGTTTTGCTAACGTGACAGGAGTTCGTTGTTGAAGATGCGTTTTCGTTTTGACACCTGTACATTTTCTGGATCAGGTTTTTCATTTTCTTTGTTTTGCTTTCTTCCTCTCGCGCTTTCATTATTTTTAGGATTTATGTTGGGGGATTGGAGGTTGAAATGCTTGAGATATGAGAAACAAGGGCTGTTAAATTTATTTAATGTATTATTTTATCAAATTCAAAAAATAATAATAATACATTAATTATAATAGGAAATGTCATTTTGAATAACATTGTTCTAAAATTATAACTAAAATAACGTTTGATAAATTTAATCCAAAATATAACAAAACATTTCATAATATTTTTGTTTATTCTTAATTACATAAAAGTTCAACTTTTTTTAAGACTCAATCATATTCAATCGTAATTTCTAAAATTAAATAGAGAAACCTTTTGCTAATTGGAAATAGAATAAAATTTACTTTTACCGTTTAAAACAAGTGAAATCAAATGATAAAATAATTAATCTAAATAGTAAGAATGAATGCCAACGACACAAAATTCTTTCCTTTTTTTTTGGGGGTGGGGGATAAAGAGAAGATACGAATCATCTGTAAAACAAATCTAATCCTTCCAACTATATATGCATCACTTACCACAGCTTTAGTCCCCAGGATAGTGTGTTGTAATTTTTACTCAGGATTCAATGGCAGACGGTGCAACGACTCCAGTTCCCTGAGAATGGAGAAGGATCTTTACTAGCCAACAACCCATTATCATCAGGGTAAGATGTTACTTGGTGCAAAAAAATGCCAACTCCAGCTTCTCATCATGCCATTCTAGTGTTTATCATCCCCGTCCTCATTGCCTTCATCCAGTTAAAATTCAAACAGGAGACCAGGATCCTTTTCGGACGCATGCTGTAACCAGTTTAATAGCGTATTGCTTCATATATAGCATTCCCCTCTTCAAAGCATGTTCATGCTTTTCATGTACTCGTGACAATCTCTTTGGTTCCCTCTCTGTAGCCTCACTGACATCAATACAATGCTCCCTGAAAACATTCAATCAATCCTCTACACATTGTATGTTCTGCTTAACAATTCAGCAAATATACAAAAGGATTCATCAAAGCATCATGCCAATGGTTTACAATATACCTCATGTCCAACAATGCCATGCTCAGAGGCTGAGTCCACTTTTGCCTCTAACTTTCATAGATGCAACGTTACATGATCATGCAAATGGTATCTTGTTCAATGCTAAGCAATCATTTCTCAATCCTGTATGTGTGCTCTGTATCTCATTCTATTTTCTCAATCTGCATTCGAACAATTGCAAAATGATATACTGGCTACTTTTACAGTTCTACTCTGTTCTATAAACTGACATGCATTTTTTGCTTCTACCATCTGCATTTAGTATTTCATTTTCAGTTCCGAAGATTTTTCTTCATGGAAATCAAGATGAGGAAAAAAATTTTCCAGAGAAAGAATTTATATCTTCAAATTTATTGAATCTCACTGTCAGCAAAATCAAAGGGATAAGAGGCAATTCATAAACCAACATCATTTACCACGGTAACAACCAATGACATTGTTACAACCGAAGGATGCCATTCTCCCTTGCCTAAGTACCATACAGAAAAGGATGGGGCTTGGTCCCAACGCTTCAACACCACTAGGGGTGAAAATCATGCAGGGCTGAGGTTCTAATCGCAGCTCCTGCAAAATCCAGGTGTTTATCCACTTAAAATAATTGCCTAGCACAACAAAGGTAACATCCCAATAGCATAGCAACCCAGAGGAGATCTAAAACATTTAGTAGATAACCTCAGGAAGATTGACTATAGAAATATATGAATAAAGAAATTGTGAAGTGAATAATATGACCTTAGTTGGTTGACAAAAAAGAGAAGCATTTATAGCATAGGGAAAAATGTTGCAGAAGGCTAAACTAGAGTATCTTGATTTGGAAACTAGTAGTATAAAAATCAACAGAAAGTCATGAGAAAAATCCCAAACGATATAATCTTTGTCAGTCTGTCTGCCCAATGGAGAAAAGTAAATGTCAGGCAGAGATCCTCAACTTTCCCCTCCCCCCTCCTAAAAACAAAATGGGCAACTGCCAAGAAGGTGTTCCATGTTCTCATCTTTCGATAAGCATTGGTTTCAACAAGCTCTTTTGCATATATCACCTAAGCCCTTTTTGAACCTCTCAATAGAATTCTGTCTCTCACTTGTATGGGGTATGCAGATAAAATTTTGCATGTTCTGACAGTCTTCTTCTCCTTTCTTTTGCAGTTGCCCTTGTTAATGAAGAGAAATAAGGACCAGTGCACAATCAAATCCAGTTCGTACCATAGTTTCACCTACATATTGAGAAGAATTTTTAATTAATAGCCAATTCTTCAAACAGAAAAGCTTAGTAAGGTGTGCTACTAATTATCTGCATAAGAAAATCAAGTATATGACACAATCTCAACCTTCCTCCTTTAGTTTGTTATAAAGAGGGGGCAAGGGGGGGGGGAAGATGCAATTTAATCGGATACATCATAAAGAAACAACCCACAACAACAACAAAGTTTTTAAACATAAGTGAATAAAATTCTAATCTCACAAGGAAATACCTCAACTGCCTCAGACCGAATTACTCTAGTTGGTCAGTGCTTCAGTTTGTTCTTCTTTGGTTTAGAAGAAATCATTCCATATGCCTTGCGCCTTGACTCTGATATGTTAGATGCTGGACGGCGCTTTCTCTTGCCCTGGTTAGATAAATTCAGCATATTGCCATCAGAATCCTCCAATTTTGCTTTCTTATCTTCCTTGCCACCACCAATTCTTGAAGTCGATTGCTCAGCAGCATCTCTTGACCTCTTCTTACCAGCCTTTTGACCATTTTGCTTCTCCTTGAGAAGCTCCCTAATCCTCAATTTCTGCTGGTACCTCTTACTATTGGGTACCTTCCATTCCTTATCCCTATATGGGGCAAGCTTCTTCAAGGACACATACTGATTCAACTCCTTCTCATCCAAAGTCAATACCTCTTTAGGCTTCAACCCATATCTATTCGGTTTAGTCTTGACATATTTAAATCTCGTTTTTAAGTCTCCAATAGTATCCTCATAGTCCAAATTATAAAATTCCTCCCACATTTCCTGTAAAGCTTTCTGAACAATAGACAATTTACGCTTCCTCTTCCGCTTACCTTCCTCAGTCTCCTCTTCCTTCCTTTCTTCATCATCTTCTTCATCTTCATTTTTGTGTTCTTTGCCCTCATCATCATCATCTTCTTCTTCTTCTTCTTCTTCATTTTTATGTTCACCGTTCTCCTCTTCTCCCATTTCTTCTTCTCCCTCAGTACCATTACCCCCACCCTTCTGTAATTTGTGCTTATTCCTTTCCCTTGCAGCCAAGAACCCATCATGAGACTCAAGCACATCCCATCCTTTAGAAAGTCCAAGCAACTCATCCTCTTTATCAAAGTCTGGTTTCTCAATTCCATCGCTATCACTATTGAACTCCATATCATCATCATCATAGTACTTCTCATCAAATACAGCCTTCATCATCTTATCATACTCCTCAGGATCAAATTCTTCCTCCAAATCCTTAGCACTAAATGGACACTCCTCATCTTTCTTAATGCCTGCAATCTCCATAACCTTCTTCATTCTCTCCGTAATTTCTTCCTTCTTCAAATTCTTCAGATGCTTCAACTCCTCCTTCCTTTCCATCTCTGCAATCCTCATCCTCTCCTCCTTCCTCTCCCTCTGTGCCTTCCTCTTGCTCTCCTTCTTCCTCACTGATCCCTCTACTTTCCTAGAGTACCCTATCACTCTATCCTCTGCATTCTCCTCGTGCCTAAAGTTATACTCCAACTCATACCCTTCTTGCCTCTCAATCTCCTCTTCATCCCTCAATGCCTCATCCACAGCCTCATTATCAACCACAAGATCTCCACCCGTCTTCTCCTTATCTATCCACATCTTATTCTTGAAAAACTCCTTCAAGAACTTCGTATTCTCATCCATTTTCTCATCTTCCCCAAAGTACTCTTCCAACTTCTTTGAAAACTCTCCATCACCGAAATCTTCTTTTTCCTCCTCATCCTTACCCTTTTTTTCCTTTACTCTCAAGAAATCCCCATCATCTTCATTGTCAACTTCTAGTGTTGCATCCAAAAGAGCCTTCTTTATCTCTTCTTGTTCTTCGTCATAACTCTTTATCTTCTTTTTCTGCTCATTAACAGCAACACACTCCTGAAAATCCGGACCTTCTTCCATTAAGTGTTTTGCCACCACATCTTTCAAATACATTGCCCTCTTATCTTTCTTTTCTTTCTGCTCAATTTCTTCTTCTTGTTTGCTGCTTTCATCATCATCAGACTCAAAAAGCTTGACATCCTTTTCCTGCAATCTGGGGTCACGGCTTCTCACCTAGGTTAGAACATTGATATTTCAAAAAGAAATCAGTAATAAATTGGCCAAGCTTCAGTTTTCATACAAATGTAGTAAACGACAACAGTAATCTCAGATTACTTACAAGTCCTCAATTCAAAGCAAGTCAGTCAGCTCTAATTACAGGAATAAAACTTAAATAATATAATTTATGCACATCTTTTGTTGAAGATGGAAGTGAAGGAAACTTGGAACGTTGTTTGTTGACATTAATTATGATATTCTTAATATTTGGAACACATTTAGCAATGTTATGGAGTAAACACTACAATGTTTATTAACAAAATAATATATTTTCCGCTTACTAGACATAATACACAGAATTTTCTTTGTCCTGTATATATTAATTATCCTTCAGAAATTAGCACCTTGCTTCACATGGGGATGTGCTTTTTTGCACCTTGTGCCTCGGGTAATGTAAGGTCCTAGCACCTAGAGTTCACCCTGTGCCTTTGACAACACTAGTGAGTTCAATATTTTGAAAATTTCCCCTTATAATTGGAGGGTTGAGGCCCCATATCACGTCCACTTCAAGCTGTTGAAAAAGTGTCCGATGCAGATACTTGATGGAAAAAGAAGAGTTGGACTAGCACCCACTGCACTAGGGGCAAAAGAGGCACTCAACCGACTCAAGTATTGTGCAGGCACGTAAAAAGGGCTCACTAAGTGAAGCAAGGTGCTACTGTTATAAATAATATATATTGGATAAAGCAAATTCTATGCATTGTATTTAATAAGTTAAAAATTATGATTTCAGTTATATTGTTTAACGTGTTGCAAAGATAAAGATCATTATCAGAGATAGCTCAATGTTTTGTTCACTTCAATCTTCAACAGAAAAATTGTGCATGTACCAGAGCTAATATTAGCCTTTTTTTGATAATTAGAAGAAAAGCTGATAAATAAATTAAAAACTAAAGAAAGCAAAATGATACTTAGTTCAGGCACGCTTGTTTCTGCAATCAAAGGCACTTTTCCCAAAGGGATGCAAGGCCTTTTATTTGCAACGCGCCTCAGTGCCTAGGCATGTAACTTGACAACACTGCTGCTGCATACAATCCCATTTGAGGATCATTCTAGCAGAATCCATTGCTAACTTAAATTTAACAACCAATTAAGAAGTTGAGAATTGATTAGACTCCTTCAAACTTTACAATTAAATAAGAAGGCAGATATCAAAGTTGGCAATTAGATTGAAGAATTCTTCCATTCATTCGTGAAGCAAAGCCTACCAACACACTAACTACTTCCAGTACCTAAAAAACTTTGTACATTTATCTCACTGTTCGCTTCTTTCTTCATAAAAAAAAAAGGTCAAAACAAACTCGTAAAAAGCAAACTCATAATCAATTAAAAATCAAAAAGTGACAATACGACACCAATTAGAGTTTAAAATAACTAAAGAAGGTGCAGTGATAAGAAATTCCTCACCATTATTAAAGCTTTAAAGAAATCCTCATCTTTCTTTCTGAGTGTCGTTTTGTCATCAAAGCCTTCATCCTCGCCATCAGACGATGAACATTCTTCACCCGACTCTTCATCAGATTCTTCCACATGTCCTCTCTTCTTCAGCTCCTCGTATCTCTGGAGATCCTCCCGTTTCTTGTTGTGCTCGAATCTTCGAGCGTATTCTTTGTTGATTTCGATCTTCGATATGTCATCGTTTTGTGCATCTTCGTCGTCTTTGAATAGTTTCACACCCATTGCTTTTGGCTTTTGTCTTTCCTCCCCTCTTTCACTGATTGAAGGGATTAGGTTTTTGCAGTTACTGGTAATAATAAAAACCGTACTCAGCGTTTTCAGCTACGGGGCGCGTCGACCCGTTTAATATCGGATCTTGGATAGTCCAACTTTGGTTTATTTACATTTTTAATGGCACATGAAACAATACTAACTACTAAATACACTTTTTAAGTGTTCGCTTAAATTTCAATTTTATTTCTTTTAAAGTAATCTAAATTTTATTATAATAATGCAACTATCTCTTTAAATTTTGTCCATAATTCTACAAAGATTTATTAATATATATTTTGTTAAATAAATAAATCTTAATCAATTGTTAATATTTTTGTTAATTTAATGTTGTTTTCTTTTTTAGATAAAAAAGGTGTTTAGTTTTCCCTAAATCAATGTATTTAATCTCTACTTTCTTTTTCAACTGTAAAAAAATTATTCACTAAAATTAAAACTTATTTTTTTATTTCTTATTTTCAACCATAATTTTTTATTTTTTCTCTATTAGTATTTTCTATTTTTTAATTTGCATTTTTATTAAAAATTTAATATAGTAATAAAATTTAATAAGTTAAACATTAATATTTTTAAAAATTAATATTTTACTTTATAATTTAAATATTATTATGATTAGAATATTAAAAAATTTTAAATATTAATTTTTTATTATTTATAAATAAATTTTTTATTTTTTATTTTAACTTAGTTTTCTTTTTTTAGGGTTTAGGGTTTAGGGTTTAGAGTTTAATTAAGCTTTTTGGCTGATTTTGAGAAATAGTTAATATTCAAAAATAACTATTTCTTGAGATAATTGCCAATCAAACAAAAAATAAAATAAAAAATAGGAAAAAAATATAAACTCTTCCTTGTACTAAACATGCTATTAAATCATATTGATGTGAAAAGTATTTTAGACATTTCATATTATCTTTTTAACACTATTTACACTTTTAAAACGAGTAGTCTATTTTCAATACTAATAGATCCAAGTAGAATTATAAATAAAATTTAAAAAATAAGAATATTTTACTCATTAATTAATTAATTATAAAAATTAAAATTAAAAAATCACAAATAATAAAATTTACCATTAAATAAAAATGGGGAATTAAATGAGAATTAAGCAAAATAAAAGATAGAAGGGTATCATGTTGTCTTTTAATACTCAAAAGCAAAAGAAGTTCAGCAGGCTCCAACCTTGCTTCCTCAATAAATTACTAATTAAAGTTTTGGTAGCATATCAGCAAAATTATCTTCAACTACTCAACCATTTGTTAAGTAGTAAATCTTTGATCAATTAATCAGTCTAACTCTGCTTGTACAGAATATAAGAGTTTAGACAAAAATGACCAA